GTTTTCTTCCCCCATAGTTATCCAAAACACAGGTGTGATATTCCTCTTTATTTAAGGCCCATCTCACCTAGCTGAAAATGATAYTGACATACTGTACAACATCCTTTAAAAAATAAAAAATTAAAAAAACTTTCTGAAAAGCAAATCTTTCCCTCCTTCTTCTTACACATCCACATTTTGTGAAGGCACTGTGCAATACCTCTTTTGAATTTGGTATTTTTACCAAAATTCAGTATAAACTGAAAACATAGCTGACCAAGGTCTCTAACATATGCTACAAATACACTGGAATGTCAGGTCCCAAGTGAGATCAGATAAAATTGTGATCAATCACTATGTGACAACTTTTTTGACCAGTTTGACATCTAAACCTACCATAAGGAATCCTTTAAGAGCGGTATCAGAAGATGTCTTTAAAAATTCACTGATTAGTCTRTGAAAGAAATATTTGCACTACTCTAATCAAAATATTTCTTACAGAAAGACAGCAATTCTGTGCGTGGGTGAGTGTACATATTTCCAAGAACATTTATCCCTTCAGATTTGCTTAGTTAGGCAGCATATGGGCATTCGTATACTGCTCTGGTTAGCTGGCAACAGAATCCCATATACAGATGGGGAAATCTATAGCTAAATAGGGTACARAGATGTCTGGGAAGAGCAGAAGAGGCAGGGAAGTGAGGGGATGAGACAAAAGGCAATAGGTATAAGTCTCCTGTCTTTCACRATACTCAAGATCTTTAGATATTCTCTCAAGTGTCTAAAGGAGCAGAAACCATTTGGCAAATTGACAGGCTTCTATGCACCTGTTGCGATACCTCAGGACCTACCTGTCTCTTTTCATAAACACAAGTGGTTTTCCAAAGGTTTGTCTTACAGTAAGTTTTTATTCACAGACAGGTTATTTCCTTAACCACTTCTGTGTGAAGTCAAGCYGCTTACACTTAGAATTGACAGAGCAGGTGGCTTGCATGGAACCAGCTTTGCACTGAGACTGTCTCACGTGCTCTCTTCCAGAAAAAASACTTTGAAAGCTTCCAGGATAATAAAAGGTAACTACAGCAAGTAAAGGGTAACTGGAGCGTAAAAGGACATGAATCTTGCAAGCAATGCCACTCTGAAGAGCCCATACATCTAAGAATGGCTCAAKGCATTTAGCAGTTATTCATTCCTCTGAATAATGAAGTAATTAGTTTTTTTTCTCCCTCTCCCTGTTATCATCCCTTCAACTTTCATCCCAGTTTCATAACCTCAAACTTCTCCGTTCCCTCTGTTCTCTGTCCTCTTCTGTAAGTTCTTTTTGAACAAGACAAAGCACTTGCAGCCCCCAGGCTACATGATGCTGAGTGGCCAACTATCTTTCCCTCAGAGAAAGAAAAAAATTTTGGTTTTCCTTTCTTCTATCCTGCCATAATGTTAATAATACACAACCTTATTAAGTACTTTTCCTCCCTGTCAAGAACAGTTGAAATTGGTTAGTGGAATCAAAAGATATATAGAAATGCTCAAATAAAGGTGGGAAGAAAATTGTCAGACTGCAAAACCATAACACTTACCTGGACTTATTCTATTTCCAGGCTCTAAGCTCTGAAACTCTGTACCTAATATCAATGTTAATTTATTCACAAAATCAGAGAACGGTTAAGGTTGGAAAGGACCTCTAGAGATCACCTAGTCCAACCTCTCCCCGACTCCCTCCCCCTCCCACAAACCCTAGTTCCTGGTGCTCTTTCTTGTAAAAGCTGTATGATTGGGTAAGTTTYGCACCATGACTGCAACTCCAGACTTGAGTTTTGCTGCTCCTAACTCTTACCACTAATTCCGCCATCTATATGGATATATTTGAACTAGTGTATATATAAAGGTATACATATATATATATATAGGTTAATTTGCATTTTAATGACACTTCCAATTTCACTGTTTTGTTAGGAGAAGGAATTTCAATACTTCTTAGATCTCCACTAAAGGCTTATCCAAAATTAGTTGCCTGCCAGTTAGCAGCAGTCATGTATGACAAGATTCTCCAAGACTTCTGTGAAGCTCTTCTTGTCACCTCAGTAAAAACAAAGCACCGGACAGGGAGTATCAGCATCTTCACCCCAAATTTCTGACTACCCCAATCTCTGTGACTGGCACATTGGCACAATGTAGTAACACACACTGGGGCACTAGCAACTCACTTCTCTGCAACAGAGGGACTCAGTCTCCTCAAGCTTATCAGCAACAGCTGCAGCTCTTCTCTCATTGGACTACCACACACTTTATCCTAGATGGCAATTGCAGTTCTCCTATTTCTTTGAGGAGTTCCTGCTTGCCCAGCATCAGGAGAGCTGCTATTTGTTGACAAAACTGTGGGTACAGTTTGCAAGCACAGAGACAGYGCCCTGTGTACATGACTAAGTATATAACCTCTTCTCCATCTCTGTTCATGGAATGTGCAGTGAGGGTTCATCTCACCTGCATAGAAGAGATGAAGGTTGAGCACGACAAGTTTCATGCTAACAAGTCGTACAGGTGAGCAAACAAAAAGACTGTGGTATTTCTGTAACATTCAAAAATAAATAAATACTCAGTATAGAACATATAAACCACCCCACAACTGTTGACCTAGACCACTGAGATTGTGCCTCAGCACTGCCTCACAGAAAAAGCACAGATATAGCTTCATATTTTTATTCTCCTCCAGCATGTTCACCAACCTCAAAGATCACAAAAAACATTCAGAACGAGTGAAGCATCATATGCTACACAAAAAAGCTCAGCATTTCACTGTTCATGACAAAAAAAAAGCAGAATACTGACTATATTAGTATACACTGGAACATTTTTAATTCCAAACAAATGCAAGTGGTTTTTCATCTCCTTCATGTATTAATCAATGGTATGGTATAAGCAAACACACAATTAACAGCGACACATKTAGGAAACATAACCAAATGGTGAGCAGTAGTTTTTAAATAAATTTTACCACACACGTTTTTTGAGTTTTTTTGAGTTTTTGCTCAAAATCAAGTATACCCCCAAACAAATGAGAAAACACATTTAACTAATATAATCTTAAATATATGACAATTTCTTCCTAAGAAAAGTGTATCCAAACTAAATCACAAACACAGTCTTTTCTACTTAGAGGAAAAATACTATTTTAACTAGAAGGGGGCATTAAGGCCATACAAAGCAAATAAAATTACAAGTAAAATTCAGTCTAACATATGTAGCTTCATGTAAGTCAAAATATAACCAAAATATAACCTGCTTTTAATAATTCATAAATTAAACATGGTGATTGTTCATAGATTTACTACTAATTTTAAATATCTAGCTCATATTTTACACAGTTTTGGTATCTGAGCAGAACATCTGAAGCAAATATCCCAAGCTAGAGACTCACTCACACTCAAAATCAAAACAAGCATTCTTGAAAATAAATCCTGCATTTCCAATTTTGAGAACATCAAAATAATATACAATGAGCTCATCTTTTTTTAATTTTCCATCGTTTCTAGACTCCATTTTCTAACACTAGATAGGTAGCACTTTTGTATCGTATGTAAACTGAAAAGCACAGTCTACTTACACTACCAAAAATTCAATTTAAAATATATAAGCTATATATTAACACACAAATAGACTTGGATTCTAAGGTATCCAGATCTTAGTAAGTTAATTAATCACTATAAATTGCATGTAGAAGTACCATTGTCTTACAGTATTATTTGACACTACAGTCAATTTAGCCTCAACGCAGTAATATCATCCAACACAATTAATGACTGCACAATACAATCTTTATATTTTACAATAAGGGCATGTAATATGTTAAAACTAGTCGCAGAGGCTATGGCAATTAATCTTATAATTTAAACTAGAAAAAGACYGCAATAATTATAATGTTATAATACAAAAAGAAAAGCTCATGTGTTTACAAATCAGTGCAAATTCAACCTCCTTCCCATTATTTGATCAGTATATTAACATAACTTCCAATTTCTGATGAATATTTATAAAATTATAACTTACATATTCCCAGTTTCGAGATTAAYGGGCATCTTGTAGTAGGAAGTTGTAGGAAGGTAGGTGCCAAATTGTACATATTTGCATATTGCATAAACATGTAATTTTACCATTTTACTGTAATTTACCAATAAACTCCCAAAAATCATCTGTAGCTTATCACATCTCTTATTTAGGTATTGGACAAAGTTCTCTCCCTTAAAAATACTTAAATTCTGTTTTCCAGATAAAAGTTTGAAGTTTTAATGCAAATTGAATATTGCCACAAAATATATATATTTAGATCCTATCTGCACAGAAAACAGGAGGAAATGAGAAGTACCTGACAAGAGTACCCGACAAGTTTATAATTTAAAGTTACAGGGCAGGGGGGAAGGAAATCAGAAATACACAGTGTATCATCAGTTTCAGTTCCCTAAAAATTTCTTCTTCCTATACAGGAGGAAACATAACTCTGCATGTTTCAAGATTATTGACATTCCTTCTAGTACATACAGACTAAGTGGTGTACAGAGAAAACTTATTTCTATTTTGACAGAAGCATTGGAAGCATGGAGAGGAGAGACCACCCGGTGAAAACACTCAAAGCTACACTAATGTAATACTACCAGAAGAAAAATGTAAGTCAAATGCATCCTTTACTCAAAAAAGCCATCCAAAAACAACTTAATGGAAGTTTCTTCCATAAACAGGGATCTGAGTATTATGATTATCCTATCACTAGTAAACATTATTTTCTGAATTTGGAGAGATTCTCAGGGGACACTGAAATTAGAAACAAGAAGACTGTGACTCGTTAACTTTGTTTTCTGAGCATATTAAACAGGACACAATAAGGTAAACTACAACAAATCAGCAGTTATTGCAAATGAAGTTATATACGTAATTGTATGTTTAAATTTTGAAAGTATTTTGATAAGGGTTTGCCAAAACTACAATGACCTAAACATAGTAAGAAGGGGGGGGGGGAAGCCATTAGACAGCAGCATTTATAATTCATTTTTATGATACAGTGTAGAGAGACTTTAACTGTAGTCTATTAATGATTCAATTAACTTTTTACAGTATCTTCACATTTTGGTCATCAGAATCTCCGTTCTCAACCAGTGATAGCAGACTTGCTCTTGTGAGAGTCGATTTTATTTTCCCTATCATCACAAAGTTGGAAAAACTTCTTCACATTAACATTCATCTTTTGCAAACATCTGCAATTATACGGACTCATTTTCTTTGGTTATTTGGTATTTTGGTCATTACCAATAATTATATTATTTATAATATAATATTCACCGCACTCCTTACTTGAAAGTAATACTTACTCCTGTGTTTCAGGTAATTTTTTTGCTTTATTTTACTTCTGTCAACAAGACAAAGCTTTGGTGTTAACTCAAATTGGTTCAGAAAGGGAATCATAGAAGACTGGGTTGCAAACTTATCTTGGTTGATCTAATTTTGCCAAATGGAATAAGGCAGCACCTGCTCCTAGAATAGATTGCATGGCCAGCAGCAACCAAGACACATGCTAGGTTATTCTGCTTGTACAGAACATCAACCTCCAATTTCATTCCAGAGCCATACTGCCTAAAACAGAATATCAGACCTGGTTTACTAAGAAGCTTCTGAAACAGAAGTTTAGCTTCCTCACTCCAGCATTCTCCTTTGGCAGGAACAGTATCACATAAAGAGCAAGAGTATGCCAAGCGTGGTAAATAAGACAGATTTTCCGGAAGAACTTTTAGTTTATGGATATCCGAGTAGGGGATACTTTTCAGAAAGCCATAATCAATGAATGTGAGAACAACAGACTGGCTTGACACTTCACTAATTTCTGCTCTGTTCCACTGCATTTCTCGTCCAAGCTTGATCTTGATTAAGCAGCCAGCACCAGGAGCCACAAGTTCTTTTGGCAAAGCTGGCAGGTTATCAGGRAGGTCGGAAAGCAGCAGAGACAAGTTCTTCATATATTCAAATAAGCCTTCCAACTGAATGCAAAAGTTTGAAGGATCAGTAACTGTAGTTGCAAATCCAGGATACCTTTTGCCACTCTGCAGTAACATCCACGTAACTGAATTTATCCTGAATGATGTAGCAAACRCTTCACAGTTTGTATTACTGAATTGTTCTGGTCCAACAATGATGTTACCAGGAATTAAGAGTCGATTCAAATATTCCAAAAGTAGAATTTCTCCTATTAAAATCTCTACTTCCCACAGATGAGAGGATTCCAAATATCTCAGAAATAAGATTCCTACTTCATGATCTAGGAATACATTTAGTAAATTGACAAATGGAAGTCTATTTGAATTTTTACACCAAACCCATTTACAAGGGACAGCTTGTTTAGGAATACTTTTTATTTCATCACTGAGCATCTTTGCATAATTTAAGGGCACCATCTCAGACTTGCCACAATCCATGAAAAAAACAAGCATTAACCTCTCTCTGCTAAATTTCTTTATCACTTTTGATCGATACCACTTTAAGTTCCTTTTAGATTTTGTCATGCATTCCAATCCTTCCTTAATATTATCCATTGCAAGCAAGCAATTTCTTTCTGCTTCTTTGACAAGCATTACATTTAAATCATTGAATACCTGCAAATTTCTAAGCAGCTTCACATGAAATCTTCCACATCCTGAAACATTAATTATTTCTGCTGTTTCTACCTGTCCAGGATTTATATCTTGAAGAGGAACTTTCAACTGTGCTTTGCAAGCATTTTTTGTCCCAACAGCCTTAACTTTACTTTGAACCCCTAAACTATTCCTCAATCTTCTGTCCTGAGAATCAGTATTTGTAATCAGAATTTGTTTTGATGGGTTTTCTGGATGATGCATTGCTGTATTTTGCAACCTTGTTCTGTGTTTTTTCTGCAGCAGGACATCGGACATAGATTTCCCATCACAAATTATATCTACTTCCCATTGCTCTCCAAGTTTTTGCAAGAACTTGCAAGTGACTGGCTTGCTATTAACTTCTTTCACAAAAAAGGAAATATTTTTATTTTTCCAGTTTTCATCAGCAGTACTCTTTACTCTGCTAAGCAAACATGGAATACTGAGCCTTGGCAGTGTTAAAAACTTTGCCTCAATCCTGTAGATCTTTGATGAGCTTACAACTGCTGTATTGCCATAGTCAATAAACTCTACCTCAAAGGAGCTTTCTGATTTCATAGTTTTAATAACTGCCCTATAAAAAAAACAATCAGTAGAATATTCTGCTAAAACAACATCCCCTACCATGAGCCCACCTAAGTCATGGTTATGACCTATATTCACTATGCTTTCATTTAACTCTTCTGCTAGTTGAATTATAAGGTTTTCTTCCTCTGCAAGATGAATATGGAAACTCAATGGACTATTTACATGAGAAATATACCCTGCTGCTTCTGAATTCACCTGAATATCACGTTGAGGAAGACTGGTTAATTTAGCTATACCTTCTTCACTCCTTTCCTGCTGACCTGTACAGTCTAACCTTTCAGTAGTTTCAAAGGGATCACTTGCAAGTATGTGCTTTATATTTAAAGTAGACTGACACAACGAGTGAGAAGTMAGCTTTTCATCTACAGGTTTCCCTTGTGTCAGAAAAGCATTGACACTATTTCTAACAGCTGGTTCTTCACTATCTTGGTAAATCATCAATTGCAAGGGGTTGCTACACATTATCTGCTCTTCATCTTCAAATTTTTGCCTACTATTTGTCTGGCAATACCCCTCATCCACTTGATTTTTCACTTCAGTTCTCAAACTATTTCTTTCAGGATCTTCCACACTTAGTTTTTTTGTTTCTTGGTAACTTGTTATGTGGGGTAGCACTCTGTAATTTCCAATAAACTGTTCTGTATAATTTTTCACAAGTGCCAATTCTTCCATTATTTTTTCTCTAATTTTCTGACTTACTTGGAGCTGTCCATCATACAACTCCACAGCAATCCGGCCATCTGGTTCTCTGGATATAATTACAGCCTTCAACAGTTTACCAAGGAAATTCTCCTCAAACCATCTATTGACTTTTATTGGAATTTCTGTCTCCTTAAGATTTGAAAGACAGCATTTAATAGCTTGCATGGGTGTTAACAGCAGGTCAGTGGCACACTCAGGAATAGGCATCAACTGGTCTCTCTCTACCATATGCTCATTTCCAAAATCCACAAAATTAACTAATAAATAGGATGATGATGCTGTAGGAAAAGCCAAAGCTCTATAAAAGAGACCATCTTCAAAATATCTAGCTATGCATAATCGTGTATTGTTAGTATGTTTCGCTTGCTTTGGCATTTTACTTATTTCACTAACCTTCTTCATCAATGCTTCGATAGTTTCAGTGTTTCGATTAAGCTGACAGTAGAACTTTAAAGGACTATGTACATGAGTTATATAAACCTCTTCCTCACTTCCGATTGTCATGTTAAAAGATGAGTAGCAAAAGCTGTACAGAGAACTCAAAGATGCATGTTTTCTCAGTGAAATATATTCAGGCTGGGTGATGTGACCTCGCTCTCTTAGAAATTCTTCTGCACTAACCAATGGTGTCTGTAAGTCAACAATATTATGCAAGCAGTTTGAACTTACAAGTATTAGAGCACAAATGATACAAATCAGTGGTCCTTTTGAAGCAGAAATGAAGTCCTTGAAAAGTTTACACATCTCTTCAGACCAATTAAGTATGCTAGTCTCCAAGGGTCCATTTCTAAGACTACATCTAAACGCTTGACTTTCCAGGGCTAGGAAGTCTGGAAGAATAGCCTGAATATCTTTAAGTAAGACTCTTTCACGATTACCAAAGTCTACAAAAACCACCTCAACTTCATTTGCAGATACTTGCTGCACAACAGTTCCTCTGTACCACCTCCCATCTTTGGGACATTTAACAACACAGGCAGCCTGACCAGTTTTGTACGGACTGGTGTGTACTTTATAGTAAGCCTGAATTTGTTCCATCAAGTTATTCAGCTCTGGCAGTTTGCTTTGCAACTGACATGAAAAATTTGCTGGGGAATCAACGTAAGAACATACCACCTCAAAGACAGCTCCTGGTTTAAACACAAATTCTTTATAAGAAATGTTTTCCTCTGGTACTAATTGATGCCACTGAGAAATACCCTCTCGTCCAAAATAGGACAGCAAAACAGATTCTTTCAGCACAGGAGTCGCACTTAATTTTTCACCTTGAAAGATCTKCCTATTTCCTGATGCTTTATTTTTATGTTTATTACAGCTGCCCTGTGCGCATTTGCATCTTTTYTTAGGCTTGCGGTGATTCAAGACTTGGGAATTTTTTGCCAGATTTGGAAGAGATTCAGGTTTTTCCTCCCAGTATTCAGCATATCCGGCCTGAACCATACACATGGTAACATTACACTCTTCCAAACCATTCATACGCTGTGCATTTACAATATACTTGTTGTTTTGCTTTCCAACTACATGAAGCAGAATTGCTTTGTTAAACACAATTTCTTTGAAGAAATCAGTTTCCTTTTTAACCCACACATCCTCAGTGGGCAATGTGCATGCAAGGGCACAACACATGGCTAAAGCTGGTAAATCAGAAAACTCTGGAAGTAATGTTTTCACATCACAATAGGGWACTGTATCTGTATTTCCAAAATCCAAAAAGTAAACAGTAACATTGACACAAAGCACTTCAGTGACAACACCCCGATAATAGCACATATCTTTGCTATATCGAGCACAGCACAGTAATCCAGGTTCTGGGTTTTTAAGGACCTTGTCATCACATCCACATTTGTTATACACATCTTCAATTTTTTCCATCAAGGCTTCAAATTCATTCCGATATTCACTTGTTTGAATCCAGAAGTTTGAGGGATTTATTACATAAACCACAAAACCAACATAGGAAGAATTAACTTTCATTTCTACTCTTTTGCAGTGGCTTGAAAAAGAGTGATCATATTCTGTTAGGCAATTTGTCAGTTTATTTCTAGTAGAATTCTTAAACCAACTTTGGTTCTTATCACATGTTTTGTAGTTTACATTAATCCTTGTCATCTTTGCATCAGGAGACACATACAAAGCAGCTGCCTCATTCAATTGTTCTGCATACATAGTATTCTTTCCAAGGTTTTGTTTTTGCAGTGTGACATAATACAAGTGTTTACTAGCATTAAATAAATCAACACGGACATACACAGAGGTTTGTTCAATCAAGGTCTGTATAAATTCTTTCAGCTGGAGTTTTATTACTGCTTCATCCTGATTCTCAAAACAAGACAGTGCACAAGGAAATGAAACCATTGGTAAAGACATGAACTCTTCTTTAAGCTTCCAAACACAACTAGATGGCACAGCTTCAGTATTGCCATAATCCATAAACCAGACTTCCACATGCTCAGGGAGAAGCTGCTGTATCACTCCTCTATGCCATTGTCCGTTTTGTTTTTTGGCAGCACAAAGTAGCCCTAAGCTATCCAATGACGTATTACTTTCTCCACTCATAGCTTCATAGTACAAATGCATTGCTCCTGCCAAATCTTCTAGTTCTTTCTGCCACTTCTGTATCTGACAGTAAAACTTACTTGGAGTTATTGCAACTGTTATTTTTACATTTTCTTTACTGCCAACAGGTAGAAAGGGCAAAAGGTCACCAGGAACTGGACGAAAATATGATGGTTTCTCAGAACTGCTAAATGTAAATAAATCCTGGACTGCATAGTTGTGTTTTAACAATTGTGGCATTTGCTTACGAAACATTTCTTGGGATAAAGCTTTTAATGTTTCAACAATAAGACAAAATGAATCTCCATTGATAAGTTTTCCTAACCGCAGTTCAACAACATCACTAATGACCTTTGACACTTCCAGAATAAACAGCTGATCTGGTAAAACAGCTTTCACACGACCTGCAATCTGTAGTCCAACTAGAGATGAAAAATAGTTCATAGCTTTTGGACCCCATTTTTCCCCAAGAGGAAGTATGTTTGCGAAAACTCCATAAACTATCTTTGGGGGCAGCTGAAACAATTCTCCACAAGCAGAAGCGATATGTATTTCATCGACCATCAATACTTGCCCAATGTCTATAAGAAAGACCTCACAGATACTTTCTTTCTTGTCCAAAACTTTTCCTCTGTGCCATTTTCCATCTGAGTCTTCCACCAAGCACAATCCACCAATATCAACATTATTCTGAACTTTGAACACACGTTCTATTTCGCTTTGTAATATGTTGTAGTCAAATTCACATCCCTCCTTATATTGACCCTGAAATGCTACTAGCAAACACTCTGGATCGCATTCTGTATGAGTTATCTTCAGATGCATATCCGAATTTTTTGGTGAGGGAGTCAAAGATTCCATTCTTTCTGCAAGGCAAAGAAGTAAGATCAGTCTTATGATCTTCTATATTTTTTCTATAATAACTAATTTCTTACATGAAGTTAGTTTGCAAAATGATTTAATACAATATTGTTACATTTCTGGGTAAACTGGCTACTAAGCATTTAACAACTGTATTTGTGTAGGTGGGATACACTTGGCAAAATTCTCTCTTTGTAAAGACATGCAAAGGCAACATCTGAAAAATGGTATTTCTGGACTAGCTCTTGTGGTACAGTCTGATTTTATCACCTGAGAAAATAGTTCAGTCAGRAAGCGGTTCTCAAAAGGTCAAAGCAAAGCCAAGCACTATCTCAGAGAGGTGGAGAAAAGACTAGAAGGATCTCTGTATTTCTGCTCAAAGAAAAGGCAATTTGTGATATTTATCAYAAAATTTATCTCTGCTAGTAATGCAAATGGATCTTCTATCTATTTTACCCTGGAATGGATTCTTCCAAGCTTTAGAGAACTTTAGGATCCATCAGTTATTTCAATGGCTATTTCCTTCAATGCAGAACTATTCAGAGTTTTATGACACTTAGACTCACAGCTATAATGAAACTATTGGTACATGTAGCTAAAGTACTTTCAACATATTTCTTTCCATTTCTTTTTAGTACAGTAACTATCAAGGAATCCTACTAACCCTGTTTTTTCTCCATGCATCACTTTTTCAAATCAACCACATTTAGAGCTCTACAGTTTGCCATTTACTTAATCTGACTGAATTACACTATTATGTTGAGCTGTATTATGTTGTAAGCTTTCATAATTACAAGGACATAAAGAACATTGTCTGTGTCAGGCATGTTTGCAGTGTCCTAACTAACAACTGAAAAAATGCATTTTATAATGTGTTAACTCCTGGCATTTTGTAAGATTTTAATTGACAGTGTAAATATTTTCAGATCCTGTAAATACTGCTCAAACCTTCACTGAAGATTAGGTCTTCAAAATAAGCTTCCAATACTATCTGAATTTGAACTCTTTCACAGAACCATGACTACACRTTGGTTATAAAGAATACCCACAACTTAATCAAAAAATTGTATGAAATAAATCAGTACTCTAATCAGTGGTTAGGGCTGTCAAATGCAAAGAGAGCGGATCCACAGACACTGCTAGACAGGACAAAACATAGAATTTCTAAAGTATATCTAATGATGAARGTGAAGCTTTCATTTTCAACTAAAAGATACTAAAAGCCTTCCTCAATCTGCAATTCTTTGAAGGAATTAGTGACAGCTCTCCTCCTGTATGTGCATACATACACAGCGGCTATCAATAATACAATTCACCCTCCAAGCTGAATATAGATTGCTATCCTTTACTTTTACAAAATKTAAGATTTTACTCCAATAGTTAAACTCAGCAAAACATTTTCAACTTCCTACTAAAAGCAGTATGAAACTCGTATCGGGCAAATAGCAGACTAATCAAACAATACAGCTTCTCCCTTTCCCCTAAAAAGAAACAGGAAAGAGAATTCCACCTGTTTTATGAAAGAAAGTTACCGTCTTCAGGATTGTCTGGCTTTAGGTAGCTTCCAAATAATGGTGTTGATTTCAATGACTAATTTTAATGACCAATTACTAAAATTACTTGCCAGCAGTCTCTTGCTTTCCTTGTATAAGGAACAAATTCTTAAATGAGCTTAAATATAGCTTTAAGGGCCCAAAAGAAGCACCTAATTATTGGAGAGATTTAAACCTTAGGAGTAACACCACTGGTTCTTCCTCAACTATTTCTTCCACCACTGGTTCTTCCTCAACTATTTCTTCCACACTAAAACTAACTTCTGGTTGCAGAAACACATTTAAAAAAAAAAAAAAAAAAAACACCCTTTTGCTTTACACATCATCATTTCTGCCTATTAGGAGAACTCTCATAGAACCACCACACAGACACATTTCTAGATCTTACAAAAGGAGGCTCTCCCTTTTACTCACCTGCACTGCAGTTATGGCTTATGCTTTCAGAAACTTGGCCCCTGCCTACTCTCTCTACCAGCTCTGCATCTCCCTACAAAATAAATATCAAAATAAAATACAAAATAAAACAAAATCTTTGKTGTCTTTCTCTAAATGCTCCTTGTTCCCAGGACACAAATCCTGCAACAGTTCCTCATATAGAGTTTAATAGCAGGGTTAAGGTTTCAAAAGACAAAATATTAAAGCAAACATTTTCCTAAACCTGCACACAGGGGCAAGGCCTTTCTCTCTCTACTGCTCAAACTTTTGTTTGCAGCGCTTCAGTTAGACAAAATCAATGGCTTACTTCACACATCACCAGACAAGCAGATTTACAGCACAAGCCAGACTTCCCAACAAAATTAAAGGCAGGATGCAACTAGTAGTTTAAAGCATTTGTGCTAACTGACACAAAAAGGCTGTGTGACGCTCTCATAGCGTAGACTCAAAGGACAAGACCAGTTCTATGCACAGCGGGACTCAAACCGGGGACTCACAGGGCCTCCCACCACTGGGCGAGACTCGAGACCGCGACCCTCGAGCTGCAGCAAACGCCTCCTTACCGACCACAGGCGACACGTAAGAGCMGAGACACCCCGAACACGACGGCTTCACAGCGCCTCCCCACCGCGCCGGACTCGGGACGAAGCRCCACCCGCGCCCACTCCACGCGGACAAAATGGCGGCGCGAGGAAGAGCCTTCAGGCGCCCGCAGCTCCTTTGGCGCCTTTTCCGCGGGGGCGGGATCTGGGGTTGATTGATGGAGCGCCGCAGCACGTCCAGCCAATCCGCGCGGCGCAGCCGAGCGGGAAGGCGCCGCCTCCATCTTGTGCCGAGGATGGCCGGGTGCGAAGCGCTGGTGGTGGGCGCCATTTTGCAGTTCTGCAGGTAGGTGGCGCTGATAAGTTGGTTTTTCCTGCAGGTTTGTGAGTTTTATTGATCTTTATTGTTTCATTTTCGTCCATCAACGCGCCTATGATAGAATGTGGGTTACTGAATCTTTTGGAGTTGTTTAACAAGGGTTTAGGATGTCTTCTGTTTGTTTCCCCACCACTAGGAGGGCTTTTTCCAGGCTGGAGCTGATTATATCTCAAAAAGAGGTGTAAGCTGATTATATCTGTAAAAAGAGGTGGCTGCAGTGAGGAAGCATGGTATGGATAGGAGATGTTAACTCCTGTGAAAATGTTGTAAGAGTCTGGTACCTGTATTTACTTTATTTTATTTATTTATTTATTTATTTATTTATTTTTGGAATAAGTGCATACAGGTGTGATAATTTCCGTGGGTTAATCTTGACTTTTTATGGAGTTTTAAAACTGGTAGGAATTGATGTATCAGTTACACCAGGCAAGTTTGAAAGAGAGGAAAGCTGCCTTTGCAACATCTACTTGTAGTAATCTTACCCCAGAACAGCTATTGCTAACTGTTATTGCACATGTATTTTATGGTCAAAGTAATAGCATGCCAACTTTTAGAAGAATTACCCCTGAAATTTAAATTTTCGTTTGTTTGTTTGTTTTCAGTTAAACAGGCATATCAGTGGTGATGATGAACCTTTTGATAACAGTGTCTTGAAACCCCCCCAAAATGAGCTGCTTTATTGGTAAAMCTAGTGCTTTGTTTTGCTGTGCAGAATGTCCAGTGTATTCTTGCAATAGGCAGTATAATCCACCTACTGGCAAGTTACTTAATACTGAATTTTGCCAAATGTTTTATTTCTCTRAGAGAAAGTAAGGGTACACATAATAATCATGAACTGACTGTTTGTTTACGCTGTTCTGTAATATAAGGTGTTAATGTCCTGTTCACTTTGTCTGTGTGCTAGCTGTTTGGGGCTCTTTTCAGTCCCAACTGTGCAGTGTGTGCAGCTAAGGGACCTTGTCAGCCTTTTATGTAAAAGATCGGAACATACTCATCATTCTTTCAATAAAAGAAGTAGAATACCAGTATATTTAGTATAAAAATAATCTAATCAGAACCTTGTTATAGTGAAATTGGCTCTTCTGTAAGGTATTCTGAAGATGTAGACTCTCAGATTTCACATGTCGAGAAATTCCATGAAACAAATTAGGATCAGTTTGTAAGAAGGGAGAGTTAGTGCCTTGCTCTAGTAATTTAGTGATTTCAGTGATTTTGCATGATTTAGTGATGCCTAAGATTGGCAACTCAGGGATGTCCTGTGCCAGGCAAGGCAAGTCTTAAGCTTCGCAATATACCAAATATTACCTGGATATGACTGTGCTTTATCCCTGTAATTCAAGCTGAAGCCAGTCTTACTGGTCTTCCTGCTATTCAAAACCCACTTTTGAGGGCACAGTGAGGGCATTATTTTTTTTTTTTTTTAATGAAGCAAAACATATATTTTTCTATTCAAATATTACAATGCTGATAACAGCAGTAATATGATAATCTTATGATTGGAGCAGTAAGAAGTAGTTTATCTCAGCCTAAGTTTAAAAGCTATCTGCCCCGTCCTTGCAGAGTGCTTTGAACCTGTGCAGTTATCACAGAATCACAGAATGTTTAAAGTTGGAAGGGACCTTTAGAGATCATCTAGTCCAACCCCCCTGCTACAGCAGGGACACCAAGAGCACAGGGTGGCATCCAGGCAGGTTTTGAAGACCTGTGGAGACTCCCTGTAGAGATACTGAAACATTAAGTCAAAGATTGGTGTAAATGGCAAGGGCACTCATATCCTAGTCTAGACACTTAAAAGTAGTCTGCAGTCAACTTAGAGTACTAGCTTGGCAGGTGATAAATGTGTTTGCCTTGCTTTGAGCAAAGGAAAAAAAAAAAAAAAAAAAAAAAAAAAAAAAGGACCAACATTGCAACCAGTAAGATATATTAAAAAATACAGATCATAAGAAGATGGGGATGTCTTCTTGAACTGAGGGATGAAGAAGGCTTTACAACTTCATCCCCTTTATAGTGTTTCCATTCTGGATTGTTTTAAACAGCTGAACACTCATCATGCAGGACAGTGTGGTGACTGGAATGGATCCCATTCTAAAGCAAATGACTTTCACTATAAATCATGTAAAGATCCAAACTGTTTTGATTCCAGAAGGGGAGAGAAGCAGAATTTGACCCTACCTTCTGCTTTTAATCGCCCCAAATTTTCTGGAATCTGTTACTTAGTGTTGCTATGATAGTTTCTGAATATAATACTGTGATAAAAAGTGGATTTTTTGTTATACTTTTTTTTCTTACTTAGGAGGGGTATACAAGTCTCTCATAACAAAACACTTTGGAGTTGTCCCCTACAGGATTTGGTTATTGCATCACGACAGAAATGTTCATGGCCCAAGGAGTTGATAGTTCTTGGCTGAGTTCCAGCCCTTCAACTTCTGAGTCTTGTGCAAATGTAGAAATACATCAGTGTTTTCTGATTGCCAGGGATGTTATTTGTTGTGCTTTTTTAAAATTTTTCAAAAAGACATTGCAGCGTTCTGCTCCATACCATTTGTGATTGCTCTTTAAATAGCCTTGAAATTGAAAATACATGTATCCTAGAGGTGGATCCTACAGGAGGAATCCTGTAGGTATCCTACAGGAGGAATACAAGACATTATCAAATTTTGAAACTGAGGCATGAAAACATCAACAAAGATAATGATAAAGGGATCATTTTAAGTGATAAAATGTGCATGAGAGGAGAAGGCATAAAAACAATCACATAATTCTATTTAGCTCCTCCCTAGGAAAGCAGTGCTTGAAGAGAGGAAACTCACAAACGTTTCACACCACAAGCCCTGTATATCACTGTTTATTTTTCTCCTGAGGTCAGCCCAGAAGTTTTGTTGCCTATGTAGTTATCAACAGAATTAAACCAATTATCTCAAAACAAAAAAATCTGCACTTTTTCCTTTTTTTTTCCGTGAAAGCGTGTTAATTTTTGTTTGATAATTTGAGCAAGAACCACTAGGTGGCAGGAGCAACCACAAATTTAGTGAGATTCTTAGCAATACACTTGCATTATTCTGGTAGAAGGAAGCAGCACAGCAGCACTTAAATCAGTCTGACCTGAAATATGAGGGGGTGTGTGCCAGAGTTTGACTAGAAGAGTCATTACACTAATTACCCCATTTGAAATCACTTGACATGCTTTCAAGTAACTTGAAAAAAAATTATATATCTATTTACTCAAGATCTCCTCAAAATTTGATCTTAGATATTCTGCTACATCATGCATTACTCTCATGACCATAGTATTTTTAAAATTTATATTGATATTATTGCTGATAGGAAGTTAATCATTGTCAGCAGTTTACATTATCAAAAAGCAGTGGGTGGAAGGTGTTCCTGATGTACTTTTATCAGAAGACTGAAGTTACTGCCATTGCTCTTACTTAAATTGCACGTAGTCCTTTCCAATGGCTGTAACTTTGAGAGCACTTTTATAATATGAGAAGATATTCTATTTTACATGTGAAAGTCACAAGTCACAACTGTGACTTGTCATTGAACCACGGGACAAAGTAGAAGATGGAATTTCCATTAATAGGGATCATCCTAAACTGATAAATTTTGCCATAGCAAGTACACGACAACACCACAACATAGCTGTGCAGGTACAGTCTGGTGATTAATGGTGGGGCTGGATTCCTCTCCAGGGCAGCCTTCCTGTTCTACATGGGATAAGTCATGTCACCGTGTCGTGACTTGGTGACTACATGTCAGGCCTATGGCATTGAGCTACTAAGTTCCTGCATTGCAGTTTTACCCCATTAACCCCTGTTTGCTGAATGACGTAGAAGAATCTCAGGCTCTTTCACATTAGTAAATACTGTGGCACAATCTGTAAAGCAATTGGTACTGATGATCCAGCAACCATATCATATTCATTTTAAGGATGGGAGGATTAGTTCAGCCTCGCTTTAGTGTGGTTAGTATGGTTGGGTGGAACGCTTGCTAGTGTTTGAAAGGTGTTTCTTGTGTTAGTTTCATTCCAAAAGTTGCCAGTTCACGCACTCAGTGATAGCTCTGCAATGCAGAACAAGTGTGGTAAGTTGGGATGGTCAGGTGTATTTCAGGAGAAATACAGTGCTGTTAAGAACTAAATCTAGCATAGAATTGCCTAGAAGGAAGCTACACTGATGACATAAATGGAAAGTTTCCAGCCTGTCAATGGCAGCACAACAGAAAAGGCTAATGGAAGGCCAAAGGGTTGTATTCTTCCTTAAGCCCTTCGGTAAGACCTTTTGAAAGTTACTTTATAATAGTTGTACTTAGATCCATACAGAAGAAGGAGCAGCCACATTCAGAGTAGAATTCTAATTTTTACAAGTAAATATTTGTATTTCTAATAGGAATATTACAGATTCAAAATTTTTATTTATATATTTTTATTTTATATTGTTATATTTATTTTTTCCCTGAGAGGAAAAAGTGGAATTGCATGTACAGTTGCAATTCTATCATTCGAAGTATTGAATACTATTTCTGATGAGTGGTGGAAGACTCCATTGCAGGTAGTGATGGTGGGTGATCTGAGTTGTGAGTCATGGAAATGCAGGAATTAAGAGGTGAAAAACGACATGTTAAATCATGTAGTTGTCTCTGAAGAGACAAACGGAATGATCTAATAGGTTTTTAAAATTATTCATTTCTACGGTCCATGTCAGGTAACT